ATATGAAAGATACATAAGGATTTTCCACCCTTTTTTCACCCAATTGGCAAGTTTTACTTTACTAAAACAAAATCCTATTTTCAAGCTACCCACTTCCCCATTAACAACCCCAATTAAAATTTACCATATTATTTTTTATTCCTTTTTTATTTCCCTACGTTTTAGGTGTATAATTGTCTAATTTGAATTCCCCATTCCACACGTTTGCAGTTTAACAAAATTTGAATTCAAGTACAAATTTGCAGCCATATCTATTTGATATTTTGTAGGAGTCTCCTTCTTTCTAACCAGATTTTCTAAGTTTTTTAAGGGCAAACATTTTAGTCTCCTTCTTTCTCTTCATCGTGTGAGTTTACAAATATTATGGAAGAGTGTAAATCTGGAGATGGTAATTCACAACACCAACTGAAGATGACATTGTTAACATAGATTAGTAATTAGCTGAGACAGGATGAACAAGTTTTTATGTTGTTTTGTGTTGAAGACAATTATCTTTTGTGTTTTTTTAAAAGCTTATTGGTATTACAATAGTTTGTTAGTTATTAATGTTATGTGTTTTCAAGTTATTATTTTAGACACAGTTGTTGCTTTATAACGTTAAGGTATAAAATTTTATTGTTTTAGTTTAAATATTTTTGACAATTAATTTACAAAATGAAGTATATGACACTTAAGATCTAATGTGTATGATACATTATTGTTTGAGTTTTAAGTATTTTTCACTTTATAAAAATGATGTATATGATACATAAGTTATAATACATACATGTACAAATATTGCAGTTACATATTTAGCAACTTGAATTATACGAATGTATATGATACATCATATACATAAACAAACTAATCACAGATTAATATTACAGTGCAAAGCACCACTAGAATGTAATACATCAAAATTATAGTTCATAAGGCAGTACACACGAAACATGTAGTACACATTTGAACAAGTCAAGTTTTGGGACACTAGAATAACTCATAAGGGAGTATACACGAAAAATATAATATATTTTCAATCACATGAATGTATCTGATACATAATATACATAAATAAACTCATCTTTAATTACTGTTACATTGAAACCCAACACTGTTGAATATAATATATCAAATTTATAACTCATAAGGCTGTATACACGAATCATATAGTAAACAATTGAACAAGTCAATTTTTTTGTACACTTGAATAACTAAAAAGACAATCTACATGTAACATATAACATATTTTCAATAATATGCATGTATATGATACTTCACATACACAAACAAACTCATATAGCATTACTGTTACATTGAAAACGCACCACTGTTGAATCTAGTTATTTATAAAATTTTATCAGTTGTATCAATACAAAGCGGATACATGCCGATTCCAGATGCATTCTTTTTAACTTCGAAATAAAGTTTCACACCCATGTCGTTTTTGATTTTCAATGGACATGAGCTTGCCTCGACAATGTATCGTATTTCAATATCCTTTGTAACAGTGTCGATCTCAAGCTCTGATAAAATCAACGTTTTCAGATTCACAAATGAAATGGAATGGCCAACGACAATACCATGAACTTTGTAACCTTCATAATTAACATCGCTTACCCAAATTCCAGAATGCCGCAGCAGAATTGAGATATTCATCTTCAAACCTTTTTTTTTTATTTCTTAGTATGCAGATCAACTTTTACAAGAATAATTTTGATTTATGAAGATCATCTGATTTAAAATTTGAATTTACTAATCAGTTACACAAGCTGTATAGCATTAATTACGTGATTTCAGTTACAAATAACAAAAATCATGGTAATTACTCCTAATTAATAGCAGCAGATGCAAAATATGATGTATCAGGACTTATGTATCCCGTGCTATTTGGATGTATCCCGCTTCCTTGAATTTTAAGGGATTTTTAGTAATTTCAATTCTAAAAGGGATAAAAGGTCATTTTGTATTTATAATATGTGGTTCCTATAATTTATACTTTTTTATAAGCTTTGGTAAAGATGGTTTAAAGATTTGAGATAATTTCAATAGTTTTATAGTTTATGTGATTTTATGTATATGAAAAAACATATAACATAAAAAGTTCAAATTATATATCCAAACAATTTTTTAACTTCGTCTCTTGATTTATCGTATGGTGAAACAGGCAAACTACTAAATTCAGTTAAACCTATTTCCTAGCTTCAAGCTTCACCTCTGAACAGAAAAGATGATGATTTCGAACTATGTACGTGTCCTTTATTAAACTAGTATCATCAACAAACATAATATTTATCAAAAAAACTTCATCATCTGACTTTATATATATCATCTAATTTTCCGACGAACACAAATTGAAATAAATTTCCTTCCGTTCGATTTCTGATTTGCTGTCAACATTTTTTCTAATACACTCTTCCAAATGAAATGATCACTTCTAGGTTTAAAAAAAGAAGATGTTACTAAGATTCTTTTTTTTCTTCATTTGCTAGTAAGTCGGCCATTTCTTTTTCCTATTTTGATTTATAGTTCATATTAGAATTTCGATTAAATTTAAATTATGCATTGTGCGTACTGCAGAATCCATTTGAAGGTGACACATTCAATAAAAAAATTTTCCACACACAAAATTTGAACCTAAAACAAATGAAGTAGTCCTACTAGTATCTTGGTTCACTCACATGTTCTTTTCATCCAACTAGGAACACATAATTCTAAGTACTAGTGGGCTATATTTGTATGGGGTACAATATATTGGTTGTCCTTGTCAAATGATCGAGTGGCTTAGGATTCAACAAAAAAATATCTTTTTGTTTATTGAAAATTAATTGGAGGGTAGCCCTACAAAAGATTCTACATGTTCAAAAAATAAAATTAGTGAAAAAAAATGTGTGCTATTTTTTTTTTTCAACTAAAAAAAAATGAAGAATATATGACTAAATAGTTGCATTTTTTTTCAAAAAAGGTTTTTGGGTGTTAATTTTTGCTAGCCAAAAAGAAATATATGTATTGTGATGATAGAGGATAATTAATTATCACTTTTTGTTGATTAATAATTAAAATGAAGAAGATGTTATTGCATTTTTATAACCAAAACATATTATTTGAACTTTAAAGATTGGGTTTGGTAAGATATATGTAAGTGAGGTGATGTACAAGAACTGTGAAATAATCAAATTATTTTACTAATAAAGGCAGTGATAGCAATTTGGAAAACGATAGATACTTGAAAAATCAAGGGCATAAAATACGAATATATTTTTTAATTTGAATTCTGGTAACATCTACGTCTTTCAATTGTACGTATATATACATTTAGTAGCGCAAATCTTTCTTCTTTTTTTTTTATCAAGTATCTATTATTTTCCAAATTGATATCATTGTCTTTAATAGTATAATAATTTGATTTTACACTTTTTTCTTTTTTTGATTTTACACTTCATGTACATTGCGCTTGCGCCATGTAGAATACATATGTGTCTATTTATTTAATATTATGACATTTAAATTATTTTAGTTTTATTATCTTCTTGGATTTGATAGTGTGATAATCCTTGACATTCGTAAAGGTTGACGTATGATAAGTAAATATTTCAATTTTGAGTATAAACATTTAGATACCTTATCTTTTTTTGTGTGTGTCAGTTAAATACTTCAACTTACAAAATCATCATTTGTACAACTTCAAAAATTTTATGAATCACATCAACATTGAATAGCAACAAACTTAGTAAAAACAAATTGGAGTGTTTAAGTCTAAATTACAAGCATTTGTTATTATAAATTTAGCCACTATGTACTCAGGGATCATTATATGTACTCAGAGATCGTTTGGTAGGAAACAAGTAATCTCAAAATTAGCTATTTTGGAATTAATTTATATCACCATATATGTATGAGATAATTTATCTCAACCAAATAAGACACCAAATTTTCATCCCTGGATTATCTTTTTATCCCGAGACTATTTATTTTTATCTCGCACATTAAACGTAGAAAAAATCAAAATCTATTCAAAATTTATCCCCGAATTAACCACCCTTATCCATCACAGCAGACAACCTCTTATAGTTTTGATCATGAAAGTTGTGCCAATACATTTCCCAAGTTAGCAATGGTTTAATAAATTTGGGCTTTCTATACTCATACGTATTGGAGGCTTTCTCTCATAAGAATCTTATTTTCATCAGTATACGCCTGATCGGCGAGTTCAGTCACACCTATAGATTCGCTACTTCAAAGGCATCGCTTCACTTAGATCGCCGGGGTTGGAGCACGGTTCGGAAAACACTTTTAGTCTGCGCTGGTGAATGGAAGCCCCCCCTATCATTATTTGGGCTCTTAAATCCATGTGAAGCCCAAAGGAGAGAACCCATAAAAAGGTGGACTCTAAATTCGGCCCATTTTTAATAAACCCATTAGTGTCCATGCTAATTTGTGCGAAAGTCCCGTCTTTCGATTTAAAGAAATTATATGCAATGACATTAAAAATGGATTGTTTTCAAATTTTTGACCCCCACTTACCCCATAGACAACTTTTAAGACCACAAATCAAAATATTTGTCCATACATTCAAAATTTGTTAAAACTTGAATTTTTGTCACGATGACAAGAAAAGTTTACAGATTTTTTATTCCTATTTTAAACAATAATGAAACTTATTTTAGCTTAGTTTGTCTTTTGAATGGGGGTTGATTTCCCTTGAGCACATTTAATTTTTTATATTTATTTTTGATAATTGAAAAATCAAGAACTTCATTTATTTATTTCATAGGCAACAATTTTCAAAATCAAAAGTCAAAACTTGTAGGACTCGAATTGGATTTCAGTTTCTTTAGTCTCTTGTATAATGAAAACGAATGGTAATTCAAAATGAAAATCTACGTCTATCTGCCCAAGCCTAGATGAACAGAGTTATTCAGTTTACATACTGCTGCGAGGTATCAGGCATTACCGTGTTAAGTAATATTAGGTGAGGTCCATACAAGCTGTCTTGAACATCACGATTATCAAAACACAAATGATTATGTAACTTTGAAGTTTGCCTTGATGATGTTAAGCAAGTCAGTAGCTTTACAATGTATACAATCACACTCTTTACAGTAATCTTTCTCACTCAACAAGTATGAGTCTGCGAGTATTACAGTTAGCTATTTTCGTTCTGTACATGTATCTATCTACTCAAAGAATGCACAAACAGTTTATAAGACAATGCGTAACATGTTTTGATGTGTTAAAGGTAATGTTTGAAATATTTTGGACAACACAAGAGGCTCCACTTCTCTTTTGAACTTCTTCAATAGATTGATAATTCGCGTCCTAGTTTCTTCTGTGGCCAAATTGTTCCCTGCCCATAAAACCTGGAGGAAAACAGAAATGAAGATAAGCTTATAAAATGGAGGAAATCTTTGGTGCATGTAAGATGAAGGGTACTACCTCAGCAAAAATTGCTATTATAATCGGTATATAAGATCCGTTAGGGCCAATAACTTTCTGCTCTGACCTGAAAGATCAAGATACAGTTGCAAGCATGCATAAGGTATGTTGAAGTTCTGATTAGTTATTGATTACTTATTGCTGTAGCCTACGGGAAATACTTACGTCTCCATCATTGAACAAAGCAGTTCGTGACTGATTTTAGCCTCATCAAGATCACATGTTATTGGTAAGTGGTTAAGCCAGAGCAGGATGTACTGAGACAAGAACAATTTATGATATGTCAGTCGATGAATGACAAATCTATCAAAACTACAATCAAGAGAAATTGTATATGTGTTCTAGTGTATGAAGTTTTCTTTTGGAATGATATAGGAAGGAGTAGTAGTAAGAGAGCACCTCATAGGAGATGCCTTCTGAGACAAACTGGTTTAACTTCCCACAGGTAGAAACAGCAGCCTCGTAAGCCATGATGTTATCGGGGTGTGTTGCATTAGGATTCTCCATTGCAGTTTTTAAATGACCGAGTATTCCTGGAAACACCATTAAGCAGCTAAGTCAGATGCTGCTAGTGGAGAAAATAGATACCTTAAGCATAGTGTAACGCACAAAGCTACCTTTAGTATGAGGCTTAAGGAAATCTGCTCCGAATTCAGCACAAATACCAATTGCAGTTGCCACGAGCTGAAAAGATAGAGAACGTCAGGTTTGAAGGATATACCAAAGACTTACTTGGGAAACAAATAGTAAAAGAAGGAATAAATAGAAAACCTGCTGAACATCTGGATTCTTGTGATTGTAAATTCTAAGAAGGAGAGGTATCCAGTCCTCATAGTACCTGATAAATAAAGAAGACGTTCAGCTAAGCCAACTGAACTTATCATGATCAATAAGACACTGAAAATTGCAAGACGTGCCTGAATGCTTCTTCTCGGCACTGCTCAGCAACATCACGGAAAAGGTGCACTACAATTCTTCTTTCTTCTGCTGTTCTATCATTACTCTGTACAGAAGTACGTAGAGAGGTGAAAAGGAAATGTCTAAGGTCAAAGAAACCATAGAAGTTCCCCATAGAATTTCTCGAGAGACTGGCTTAACGAGCAGTTGATATCAATTTAATCACTTTTGATGCTTCAGTAAGAGGTGTCATGAATTGAATTATACATATAGTACATCAAAAGAGAGAGTGGCTTACCTACATAAGTGATACATAAGGCAAAAACTTGTCAAAATTTGGCAAGAATGATGCCTTTAGTTTTTTCACCATAGTTCCGAGGCAAATGCCAATCTGAATTCAGGAAAACAAAGAAACCGATGAAGGTAAGTCTAAGGTCCTGTTAAGTGTATATATATATATATTAGAGGCTATGTTGTAAAACGCTAACATTTCTACATATAGTTAAGTGTTGCTCAGCTTCTTCCTTAAGTAGCTCCTGCTCCCTTGAACCTGTGTGTTCTTTAGCTCGTTTCTCTCTTTCTGTTTTGCGGTATGAGCATCTGGAGAGAACCTTTGATATGCCATCAACAAATTTTGCAGCTTGGTTTTTACTTAGACATGAACCCGGAACCTGTGATAAGTACTTCTTAGTGCACAGACAAATAAGCTATACAGAAGACAAGAGAGTTATTTACCTGAATGCTTTTGTTGAACGCCTCCAATAATCTTGCTTGAATTTGTACCTTTGACTCCTAAAGGAAAAGTACAACTACCTAAGGATCGTATTAATATTGATTAAACTTTTGCTGCAACACTAGGTAAATTACCTTTTTTAATGCATCAAGCAAAGACGAGATAATAGTGTCAGATAGCTTTTGAACTGGGGACTTGCCACAACCTGTTACAAGTAGCCCTTTCTTCATAGCACAAGAAGCTGAATTTAACAGTAACGGCATTGCTATAAAAAGGAATAAATGCAATTTAGCAAACAATCGGGTTTGGTTTATAATGCGGAAATGAATGATAAGATGAAGACACATGTAGAAAATTTACCAGAAACGGCAGCCATTCTAACTTCTTCACTGAATTTATAGGTAAGATTCGGAACTAAAGCACTAACAACCTGCATAAACCACAAATTAAGTAAAAATCAGCATGCTACTTTGTAAGCCTTGTAAATGAGATTAGCTATGACCTGTAATTTTCTAGACAGACCTCATTAACCCATAAATGCAGCCCTTCCTTTAACTCATTTGAAAAGAAGCATAGCATATGACAGGCCAAGGCCTTCTCTTCCAGAAGTACAGCTCTTATCCCGATCATTTTATTCCCATCAGTGGCTTTAATCATGCTACAGAAGATATTTATGTCAGCTGAAGACATCCTCAAAAAACTTATTCCATTAAAGTTGCTTATTTCACTTCTTTCCTGCAATTTCGGGTTAAAACAACAACACAATATACCAAGTGTAATCCCCACAAGTTGGGTCTGGAGAGAGTAGTGCCTACACAGACTTTACCCTTACCTTGGAAGGTAGAGAGGCTGTTTTGGGGAGACTGCAACTAAAGGTTGGTAATAGAAATTTACCGAATCAAACTGTGTTATTTAAGTGCGCGGAAAAAACAGATGTTTTCCTTTGACTCAGAGATGCTGTCTCTAAATAAACAGGCAGATACACAAAAGTCACTTAACAGATTCACTTTATTTACATTCTAATTCGACATAGTAGGTTCATATGGTAGAGCATGTATGGAACTCTTAATACATGAAATGAAATTCAATTGTACGAAAACTCACAACCATCTACATCATTAAAATAGTGATAATACTAATACATATGTCATCCATCTAAATAAAACTTCATACGAGTTGTTATGGTAAAAGATCCAACCTTTTATAATCAGAATCATCTGTATCTGAATTATCGGAAACACTCAAACAGTTCTTTAGCAAAGCAGATTTTAACGCAATGGGCATGACAAGTCTCAGATAAGGAAGGAAATCTGCCCCCAAGAATTTGCATAGTCTACCACATTCCTGTCATAGAATCAAAGTGTAAATTAGCCAAAAACATAAAAGAAAAGAAATGAAAATTGTACAAACTTAACTTGTATCAACATACTAGTAACAGAAGTCTCCTCATTGGATCTTCTATCTCCGTTTGAGTTCCGTGCAGTGAAGTGAGTACTGCAGTGACCTACAATAACATATCACATGAGGTAAATGCGTTTTCAGATCTTAAGTGATGTTGATAGTTTCACTTTTATATAATGCCTGTTAAGTACTAATGGAAATTTATAAATTGTATTCACCTTTTCAACATAATCATTGATTGCTAGATTTCCAACAGCCACTGCAGCCATGGTAATGCATTCCGTGGATTTGGCCAGTAGCGTGTTACTTGTATCATTAGTAGCAGTTTCCACGATAACTTTCAGAGTAGGCATTAAAGCATCGTATAAGTATGCAGAGTCCTCCTGCAGTGTCCCAAGCAAATGAAATTTAGAACTTCGAGCATTGGAAAATTAGAGTTCTTTTTGAGCCCCTGAAGTAAAGTACCTGTAATGGAATAGCTAAAGAGGCTAAAGTTGCAAGAGATGCTTCCTTCATCATTGCAGTTCCTCTCTGGAATATGCAGCATGTTACTTGTTAAATATAAATTCAAATCACATCAGAGATATGACAGTCAAGAGCTTATGTCATTACTCTTATACACGTGAACAAATAAATATGTTGTAGATTGATAATGGTGACATTACTTTTTGAAACCCAGCTAATTTACGCACTATATTGTGCAGGTAAGGTTTCAAGATATCTGCACTGCAATTTTGACTGAACAACTTTATCGCTGAAGCTGCACGTGTCTATACACAAGAGAGAATATTAGTCGGCAACCAGATGTACTTGCAATGGATAAGTTTTGATATGTCAAGAGTTCTCAATTAGAGAACAAAGAGTTAATACATTGGTCATATGTCATTAAAAGTACCTGCAACCTGGGATTATCAATATCATCCAATACTTCTATCAAAGCTCGAAGGAGCTGATGATGATATTGCTCTTGAAAATGCGGGCTCAGATATGTTGATAGCTGACCAATTGTACGAATTGTCGCCCAACATACTCGAGGGTGCTCATCATGGATTAGTTTTACAATAGTCTGCACAAGTTTCTCCATCTCCAGTAACAATGCCTGGGAATTTTCAGACCAGAATCAAACTCAAAACGTATTTCATTTGCCAAAAGTAATCCAGTGTGATCCCATAAGTGGGGTCTAGAGAGGTAGCGTGTACGCAGCAGAAAGAGTGAATACTACCTTTGAGCATCCTTCTGAAATCAGTCAAATTACTGTAACGGCAGCATGACGAATTCTCCAATTTTCATTATGCAAGAGGTTGTACAAGCCCACAGCGCAACAAGGTATAATTACACTTCCCCCTAATGCAATTGCTAGCCTATCCAAACTCTCCATAGCATAACTACGCATACTCAACTGCTCTTCATTTTCATCATCTATAGTTGCATTTCCCCAGCAAGGGTCATCTTTAATATGCACCAACATCACAGTCAACACAGTAAACAATTTAGTAACTTGTTCTTTTGGTAGCATCTGCATCATCCCACACCCAATCTCTCTATCCTCAGCCAAAGTAACAACAAACTCTATAGCTAGCTGCCTTAACTTTTCCCCTAACTTCGAATTCTCAGCTATCCTCGCCATACTCTTAATCACAACACTGATATGAACTTCAAAAACCGCGGTCTCTACCCCAACCAAAACAATCAAATCCTCAAGAAGTCTACACACAAGATCTTCCTCACTAATTGCCACAAACAAAGTCATTATCACATGTTCTAAAAGACTACAAAACTTGCAATAACTCGCGGGCGTTGAATAATACAAAATCATTTTCACAGAAGCCCTAGCAGCAGCAACCCTACAACGATGATCTTCCAATACAGTACGCATAATGTCTGTAAACCCCTCAATCAAAACATCAACATAAGGTACAAAAACTGCAGGACATTTTGGTATCACTTCATTCCATAAAAGCATAACACACAATTTCCTGTCCCAATTCGTACCCAAATGCTCAAACATTAAGCGAAACAAAAAATTCCATTCATTTTTAGGGAAAAGTAAACCCGCTAAACTCGATATACAAGATGAACAAGCCCTGAGTGTTTCATAATCTGTTTCAACCCAAACCTTTTCATGTAAACAGATCTTCAAGTCATTTCGCTTACTTAACGGAAGTTTGGTCCAAAGTGATGGTAAAACATCGCTTAAAATATCGTAATAGAGAATACCTGTACGCGATCCTCGTAAGCTACATTCAATTGCTTGGAGAAGTTGCTCAATTAAAGAAACTGGGAAGTGTTCTTTGGAATAATTCAAGAGAACTTTCGCTGATTCACGAAGCTTATCATCATCACTATAGAGATCGAGAAACGGGTGTTCCTTTGTTGATTTGGGTATAGACGCCATTGAAGCAGAGCTTGTAAGGAAGAAAGTTAGTTTTTCTTGTTACAGGTTTTGGCGGGGTTTAATAGAATTTGAGTATAGTGATTTGTTTTTGTTTATTTTTGGTGATTAATTTGACGGTTGTGATTAAGTTTTGGTTAATCAAAATGGATGGCTAGGATTCTATCTTCGTTTGTTTGTTGGCACTCATTGCACATTTCGTTTTTCGAGAGTCAAATAATTAAAGTTTTATTGGAAATTCGAGCATGACATCTTCATTTTTTTAAAATAAAATTTATATATTTGTAAACTTATTAAAAAGTACAATAGGTCAGAATAATTGACAATCCTGAATAGTTAAAAGATATATAAAAAATTTATGATCAAAGATAAACGTATTTGAATATCGAAATTCAAAATGTGTCCTATAAATTTGGATATGACGATATAATAGAATATGAGCTGTTATAGAAAATACATCTATGGTGAATTGTCTTTATTTTAGACATGACATGACACAACTTCAGATTACTAATGATATGATCTTAAATACGAAGGTGTGATGGTTGTGCATTAGGTTAATAGGTTGAGTAATGACTTATTTTCGAGGATTCAGGTTGGATACTCTATTATTGTTGGTTTTAGATTTTTTATAGGGATAAAGCACAAGTACCTCTCAACCTATGCTCGAAATCTCAGAGATACACTTATACTATATTAAGATCTTATTATCTTCTGAATTTATTTTATTAATAATTTTCTACCCCTTTTGGGCCTACGTGGCATTATCTTATGGGTCCAACGCTGATTGACTTTTTTTTTTCAAGCTAGTGTCACGAAGGCCGAAAAGGGGTAGAAATAAAATAAGTTCAAGGGTAATAGAACCTTAGTATAATATAAGTATGTCTCTGAGATTTCGAGCATATATTGACGAGGTACTTATGCATTTTCCCTTTTTTATATCTATCTTCATCTATCCCACACGTCAATTGTGGGATTTCATTGAATATGATACTGTTATTCTTGTTTGATACTAAGGCATAATTATTAAAAATTATTATGTCATATCATATTGTAGGTGTTATTGATCCACTAATAATGTCTTTTTTGTCAGTAAAATTAGCTCATGAAATCATAATTTGTTTAATTTATTTAAGTTTGGATTGATTATTGACCCACTTATTTATTAGCTCAATTTGTTTGAGTTCAATTCAATCAAAATTTGAATTAATATTTAACCCACATTATCAATTGAAGGTCTCTTCAAATTATTTTTTATAATTTGACAGGCTATATATAATCATAGTAAAGAAAAATGTTTAAGTTATTAAATATTACAATATAAAAATAATAAATAAAGCAATTAAAACTTAATAAGAATTAATTAATTTGAATTTTGATATGTTTTTTAGCTCATATCAATCCAAATAACTGCGAAATGGAAGGGAAACTCTTCAATAGAAAGGACACTCATAGATGTAAATGAACATCATGACATAATTTTTTTTAATAAACTTGGATCTCGATAGGTGAATTTTGTGATAAACGAACTGACGTCGAAAATAAAAAAATAAATTTATTATTTTTAATTTAACTGATATGATTAACTCGAGAACATGGCTCTACACAAATTTTTTTGATCAAACAAAAAATATGATTTATTTAAAATTTAGTGCATTTAGATTGAATTATACAGTATAAGTTTCTAGTTAGGTAATATTGCTTATTCTTTTATCTTCTAGACAACATAATTATTCCTGTTAGATTGACAATTTTTTGTTATGTGTCATATTCTAAATATATTCATATATAATTTAAATAAATATCAGAGTTGATAGAGTAATGTAGAAGGAGAGAGCTGGGTATGATAAAGATAACGTGCAAAAGAGCCAAGAAAGATATAGTCAATATGAAATTTCACTTGTATAATTTGTTTTCTCTGTTTCATTGTAAACCTCTTTTTTAATTATTTTTTTTAAAAAAAAAATTTAAAATTTGGAAAACATAATATCAATTTCTTTGTAATAGCAAAAAAAAAAACATTTTCACACAAATTAAGATAAAGAAATCACAATTATCTACCAATCTTATGATCCACAAATTATTTCCGCTATTATAAGTGTGGAAAAAATTTATTTAACCATTAATTAAATAAAAAAAAAATATAATAAAATCTATAAATTTAAATATAGACTAAGTTTTTTTATAGATTAATTTAAAATTATTATCGAAACCAATAAACTTCAAATTCGAACTCGAAATCCTATTTTTGGTGTAGCTCTTTCCAAGTTGTACACGTGAATGGATAGATATGGTTGATGAGCCAAACTCCCAAACATGGAGGAACACATACTCCCACTTTCTCAGCTAAAAAGAAAATCATCAACTTTGCTTCAATTTCTCTTCAATGCTATGGCTATTACACATTAATTTGTACATTAAAGCTTAGAAGCTGCTCATCAACAAGTAGTTATGAGGGTTATTCAATATGGGTCTTGCTCATTTCCATCATTTCAATTCCAAGAATGCTCCTTTTCAAGGTGAATTTACTCTTATGCAACCCAAGTGGTGTTTTCTTGTTTTTGATTTTTGACTATGTTGCTCATGTTAAATTATGAAATTGTTCTTGTTGGGTTGGTGGGGTTAGTGTTATTTTGTTAAATGATTTGTGATTTTAGTTCATTCACAGTAGAATCAAGAAAATTTTCACTAATTTTTTTCATTGAATAAGAAATTTCATGTTTTTTTTAGAGATATGTCTAATGTTTTTTGTTGTTCATGACTTGTTGTTAGCCTTTGTCTGTTTTACAATGATAGAGAAGTAAAGGCAGGAGGGACTGAAAGGGAATGATTGTGTATCTAAATAAATACTTCATTTGTTTCAATTTGTTTGTCTGGTTTTGATTTGACGCGAAATTTAAGAAAATAAAGAAGATTGTTGAACCATGTGGTCTTAAACTAAAGATTGTACGAGAATGCGTTTTAATTTTGTGGTCTTATTCATGTATAGAAAGTTAGAACTAGAGAGTTGCCGAAAAAGGAAAGATACATTTCTTTTAAACGGACAAAGAGGAAAGTAAGAGAAATCAATTGAATAGTGAGTGTTCAATCTTCTTGTTTTCCTCATCATATTATGGCTAAATGAAAATGAGGATTTTCAGGAAGAGAGTTGGAGTTGTCAAAGTGATCAAGTCTAACTTGTCGAACTCAGATGCTAAGAGAGCAAACCTTTCTGCCAGGAAGAAGGACAGAATTAAGCTCCCCGAACATTACAGTATTGGTGGAGACAGTAAATCATTGCACATAAGTGAGTTTCTGAGCCATAAATCTGGTATTGAGGCAATGTTGAACAAGAGAGCTTTGCAAAGCTTTGAATCTATTGATTCTAATACGTACAGGTAATGATTTGTATCTTCTTGCCTATTATTCTTGTCTAGGTACTTTTGGTCCAAGGACATCCCATCTTTCTCTTCTATCATTTGTTCCTGCTGTGTGAAATATTGCATTTCATTATTGTAGCTAGGCGTTAAGTAGTTTTCAAGTTATCTGCTCAAGTATTGAAAAACAAATGGAAGCATCAATGATAGTACAAAAGAAGCTTTGCAGAAATAACGCCACTGTGCGAAGAGATGAAGCTGATCGAACTATTAGGATGCTGAAATAATAAACTATATCATACAGTTTTATGAGTTCTCTTATACTTCTATTGGTATATGAACCATAAGGCATAGGGAATTCGCCTCTATGCTGCATCCTAAATGACTTACGGATCCACTTTTTGTACGGTCAGGTAATCACATGTGAATGGAATAACTAGTATAAATTTAAAATTAATTAGTGCATCCAGTTTTGCTTTGGTAACTTGAGAAGCTTGTTTCTGAGATTCATCAGTAGTTCGAAAGGCTTAATGATTTCTAAGTTTTGTGAGTAGGTGTTGCCTAATGACCACCTGATATTTATTGACATAACCTGATTCTTGCTTTCATATACTATGATGACGTGAGACTTCGGTTCTTTGTGCTTTTCATTTTCAAATTCTTCAACATCCTAGCTATAGGTTCTTTTGGTCTATGTACTGATATAAAGAAGTTTATTTTGATCTATGCTAATTTTGCAACAATAAATTGTTGGTATATCAGCCCCTCTCCCCATGTTCACACTTGGGACCTTCAAAAGAAGAATGTTATTTAACTCCCTGTGCTAGTGATATCAACGTAAGATTATAACCTAAACAATTTTTATAATTAAACACTAATGAGTTAACTGCTGCTGACCACAAGGCACCCACCTTAAACCAAGACTTAATTACTAACTCTTTGTGAAAAGGGACTTATGAATAAACTGCCAGTTGTCCTGTAACCACTTAGAAAGAAAGTAGTTAAAACAGAGGCTCATTTAGTTAAAAGTCAATTCTTATGAACATCCAGTAATTCTGGTGTTTGTAAGAGCCAATTGAATGTGGGGGAAAGAAATGTGCAACCAGCAGCTTACGCAACAAAAACTCCAGCGACTACCAAGCAAAATCTTCTGATGTATAAAGTAGAACTGCATATAAATGAGATTCTACCCCCCAAATATGAAAGATGACAAATAAATTCCAATAGCAACTAATTAACAATGGACATGCTAAGTAGCCTAACTTCTTACACGGATCTGAAATCCCACTGGATTTATGTTGAGAAAACATGGCTATCATTTGCACTAATTATAATACTACTTCAATATGTTTTTGAGATTTTTCTGGAATCTTACTATAGCATCTTAGTGTGCAGGATATATAAATCTGGTTGTTCTGCAGCTAGATGACCAGGATTTGTCAACGTTAAGTAGATGCTGTCTGATGATTGATTTTCTTAAAAAAGATAACTATTTTAAGTTTGGTATACTCCAGCCCCTAATCCCCCTTTCCTGAGGCCTAACAGTGGTTTTTCATATACCTTCCTTCTGACCTAAGCTCCCAACTCTTAGTTAGAAGCAATGGGTTATACATTAGAGCAACCCTTTCTTGGCTTCTTGAATATAGAATCAAACTTGGGGTAAAAATAATTTTCTTCTCCCCTTTAGTGTGTGGAACTGTCAAATAATCATATTATGAAAATGGCCTGTAGTCTCTGAGAGCATTTGACTACTTTAGTAGTAGTGCCTTTCTATTTGGTGACTGAAAATCAGGAACAGTCATGTATGGATATTAGATACTCCAATCTTCATCAGAGAAAATAGTTCATGTGTCCTCCGCAGCCTATTTCATATAAGAGTTACAAGATCTTGCTGATTATGATTTAATTGCAGGTGTACTCTTCCACAAGTTCAACTTCTAAATTTTGAAGTTGCCCCTGTTTTGACACTAAAAGTGAACCCGACTAGCGAAAACTGCACTGTGGAGATGTTGTCTTGCAAGGTAAGGCTCCTTGTTCTGGAAACATCACCCAACCTAAGGAATTAGCGTCTCTGATGTGCTGTTCAACACCTCTTTCTTCTAGACCAAGAATCTTCAAAAGTTTCTATCACAATTGAGGTTCTAATTTTGATTTCTTTCACGGGGTAGCTAAAGGCTCGTAGATCTTTAGTTGTCTTAAGATTTCTTATGAATTCATGTTTGTATGATTGCCAGTCATGCAATTTCTCATTTGCAGCTATCTGCTTTTGAGGTAGTTAGTACCTTTAGAGAAGAGGGAGTAATAGAAAGAGGAGGGGACCAAGGAGTGAGTTAAGGTTTAATTTCCCTGTCTTTGTACATGCAAGAGAATAGTTTTCTTCTGGACGTTAGCATCCCCCACATATAACTTAATACTCCCTCGTTGCGATTGTGATAAATGTCTTGGGATCTTTGTTCGTTTTTTTTTTTCAATTAAATTTGAGATCTGTTTTTCTTACAATTTAGTTATCCTTTAAGAAGATATATAATCCTAAATTCCTGATGCTCAATGCAGTTTGAGGGTTCTGATTTGGTTGAGCAGCAGAATGACCACTTTTCAGGTATACCAAAACAACACTCGAGCATGACAACTTTTGTCAAATTGAACGAAGCTGAGCTTTTGTAACATATTTATCATAATTTATGATTACATTTTTAAACACATGCAATGTGTTTTTAACTTGCAGCATCAATGGTAAACCGTATAACGTGGGAAACAGTTGGATCTCAGCCTTTCCTTGATGTTGATGTGAAATTGAATATATCTCTCGAGGTTATTATCCCTCTCTTTCCTAAATTTGTTTATGCTTATTCTTCATGCAAAATCTCCTTTGACAAATGTAGAAAAGCTTCTCAGAAACAAAAGGCTACCGGTTCTTCATCATAGAATTTCTCTGGGATGACATCATTATATGCTCGTGCATGTGTAGATACATACAACAAGGGATAGAGAGAGCACTTCCTTGTCATATATGATTTACAGTAGCGTATTTTCCTTCACTAAAAGAGCAGCCAGGTGCGCGAAGCATCATGCGTTCCATGCAGGTCCAAGAAGGCACCAAAGGGGGTGTCATGTACACAGCTTACCTTACCCCGACACCGCATTAAAGGCTGATTCCACGGCTCGAATCCTTGACCTACACTAATCAGGAGAACGATAGCCGCCTCTCTAGTTATCTATGCTTATTTACGCCTTTCGGATATGCTTTTATGAGGGACCTGCTATTCAGAAAAAAGTACTCTTAGCATGACATCCATAAAAAAGTAGGAAACAAAAAGACCTGTTATCAAGATTGTTAGATTGATAGCACATTATATGTTTGTGGTGTCATATATATGTATAAATCTACTGCTACTTTTCTCATCGTTGAGTTGTTAAGGCTTAATTGGAATTGAGATGACCTCTGTAACTGTTCTCACTCTAAATTCTCAAGTTAAACTTTCTTCTTTTGTTCAAGTCTGAACTTCCCAAAGTAAATATCACTGATTCATCTGGTTGTAGACTAGCGACACCAGAATGTGGTATGCAGGATTTAATTAGATCTGATGGGTCATGAACGATCTATCAATCTTCAGATTTTTATTCCACTTCACAAAACCGAGGTCTAAATGTATTTGAATGACTAGATTCTTTTCATGCCACAGTGAAACGTATTTTCGATATATTTCCTTTGAACACAGTACAATTATCATATTGACAAGAGAAGTTTCTTGAATATTATGACCCTGTAGATCCGAGAAGTCACCTTAAATTGTTCTTGCAGATATATACGATGCCATTCACCATGCTGCCTACTTCTGCTGTTGAGACTCCCGGTAACTTGTAAGTCTATTGCTACACTGTCTTTACTCTCTGTAATCGGAAATGGTGATAAAAACAATTATTGCAGTTTAAATTACTCATTAACCAGACTCTGTTTATTAATATGTGTGCGTTGTTGTGCCTGGATTTTTCTTAGAGCAAGGTCCATATTAAAAGCAAAGAATCCGACAGTCATTAGTGGTCCTTGCTAGATTTTAGATATACACTTCTTCGGAATCATTTGCACTAAGAATAGTCCATTTCATTGAACCTCAGTACGTCTGCATGTTTCCATTTGCCAAGTCCTATCAATAATTCCCTTCGCTCCAGAAGATAAGTTGATCATGAACAGTTAGCGGTGACACTTTTTCTTGATAATTTCAGCTTATCAGCATGTGAATGAACATAGAGGTCTTCATAGATTCGGTACTAGTTTAATTCAGTTGAACACTCTTTTATCATTGCATAAACATTGTTTTGCACTTTGCAAACATTTCATTTCAATTTTCAGAATCTAATAGGTTCAAAATGATACTCCTATCGCAAATAGAAACAACCATCATGATTTTCATACACATTAGTCATCTTTAAATTCAACTTCTTTTACCTATTCTGTAACTTTCGTTCTTCATCTAAAATTCTCAATCCTGACCGTGAATCATGTGTTTACACAGAATGATGCAAGCTTTAGTTGACAGGCTAGTACCGTTGCTATTGCAACAACTCCTTCAGGATTATGACAACTGGGTACGACAATATCAGAAATCTCTGTCGTGAATCAAACCCTTTTTGTACCCTGAGTAAGTTAACTACATTTATGGCTCCGCGAGGACACCTCTAGCTATAATACTACATGTGAGCACATTTGCTCCTATCTCGGTGGACAAGTTTACCAGACACTTGTACTTTTGTGATGCTGCAAGCTTCAACTTAGCTTCCTACTAGTCTAGGTGTGCACAAACTGGTTCGCCATGTATTTTATTTAGGTATATTATATGTATGAAACTTCTATCATTCCATGGCTTAAGTTTAAGCCATATGATACTCATTTCTTTTGTACAATATGTACATCTTCCATTGGTGATATTAAGCAAAATCATTACTTTTAACCAAAAAATTTCAAAGTGGTATTAGGACTCTGGAAACAGAAAAAGTATGTCTTTGGAATATGGATCTGATCTGTGTAAAATATTTCACCAAAGATAAAAAACGATTTCACAATAATAACCTTTCTTTTTTTTTTACCTATAATTCATCTTCAACTTTTGATTCGCTTTGCTTGTTCTTACCTAGTCCTCAAAAGCTGAATCAAAATAATATTTGATTTATATTCATTTCAAAAGTACTTTCGACCCACAATCAAACATCATGAAATACATTTTCACAAGATACTTCCCCATGAAAGTAACTAAAAAATGATATAGTTTCCATACAAGTTTAGATTGGAGCCCAACTAAAGAGAAAAACTTTTAAGTGTGTTCGATCAAACGACCACAAGCATCAAAATCATCTATTCCACAACATGTTCTGCAGAATCTATTGCAATCAAAATTACCATAAGGAAGAACATACATGTTCCATATGAGCCTGGAACCTAACTTCACCCAAGGAAGTAAATGTAGGCACACATTCTCAAATAAGAAATCATACGAGAGTCGAAAGATATGACAACATAAGAACTTATTATAGCCAACCCTTGCACAACAATTTCATCGTCATCAGGAAAATCCCATTTAGCTACACTTCAGAGTACTTCGAGAACTGAACTTTGCCTATTTATGCTTGTTTTCCAGACATCAGCCACTTCTTCCCCTCCAATGAGCTGCCTTAAATAGGAAGAACAAAATGGAGAATGTCAGCCTATCACATAATGTTATTCTTCTAAAGGATATAAATGCGTACATTTTTTAAGCTTCATTCTGAAGCATAACGCACTTGGAAAAGAGCATGTTCAGCTCAGTAACCATAAATTTTTGAACCGTTTGTGTCAAGATTGTAAGAGAATTGGAGCCCAACAATATAATCAGTTTATAAGGGGGGATATAACAAACAATCCTAACGTAGGTGTAAAGAATATGGCCAAAGAAAACAAGAGCCTTTAATCAATTTTTTGGTGTTTATTAACAATCAAATACATTCCAGTTTAGCACAAATTTATCTACATCTCATTGCCTTGACCAAAAGTAATATTCCCTCATAGATTAGCTAAGTTTGAATAAGGAACACCTGTACATAGTAGCAAAACACCTGGCCAAAGAGGAAAAAAATTACCATTCCTTTCAGCAGCTCATCCACTCATGCTAAATATAAGTTCCTTTCAAGATTCAGGTGGCAATTTTGAATTGAAGAATTGTCCAAAGAATTGTCCACTCAAATGGTAATGGTAGCTTGGTATGATCAAAGCTCCAGTTTCCATGAAAAGCATGGACATTTCTTTAAAATTTATTGGAAGAAAAAAACAAACGGGGATGTAAACCCATATACTATATAACATATGTAAAACCCAAGATCCCAGACGTAAGCAGAAAGTGACTATCCCATTTGATTGAAGCTGTTAGTGAAATTAAGGTCAGCAAAGCTCTAACGTCTTTTTTTTACTTTCCAAGGACACTTTAGTTTTCACTTCTAGCAGTATATTTTTAATGCCTGAGCAGTACATAGTTTATAAGGGAATATGCTGTTAGTGGAAGGACTTTGCAAGTAATTAAGCAGTGCATAAAAAAAAGAACATACTAGAATTATGAGTTTCTTTATGAATTTCATTTTAAGGGACCTCTCCCGTAAACAACAAGGGAAGTATATCTCATGTTTGAACTCACCTCTTGATCTTCTGACATGACAAAATATCTATTGAGCAGCTTTCACCGCCTAGTCTGCCTATCAGCATGCTTTTCATCGTCATATCTTCTCCTTCCACTAGAATGTGAATCATCATGTCTAACCCTCTTGTATGAATCATGACCTCTGTGATTATCACGCATTCTGCTTCTATGCTCCTCCTCTTGTTCATACCTTCCACGCTGAGAGTCCCCTTCTTTCTCATGCTTCCCATACTGATCTTCCTCTTCATCTCTTTTGTGTTTCCTTTCCCAGCGGTCATCATTCCTATTTTCTCTTCTCTCCTGTCCACGCACTTCAAAATCTCGATTCTCCCGTCGGCTTTCACGTTGCAACTCATTCCCACTCTGAATCTTATTTTCACGCTCTCCATCATTACCTTCATATTCTCTGCCGCATCTTCTTGTCTGTTGATCTTTACTCCTATCCTCCGTACTCCTGTATGACCTATTTGGGTTCTCAGCTTCAGTATCAGCCCTTCCATACTTTTCATCTTTACTAGAATCCCTCCTCCTTGACTTCCCTTCACGTTGATCCGGGCTTTCATCGTTTAGTTTTCTCTTTCCCCGCAACAACTCCTGACTTGCACTTGATCCATCAATCAAATACGTAGCCTTAGTATTATGTCTTCTCCCTTCCTGAATCTTCTTGTTTTTAGCATCACGACCATCATCATTGTAGTCAGAATCATGTCTTCTAACTCGATCACTCCCATCAGAATCGTCATCAGAATCATGTCTTCTAACTCTCTGTGACTTCTTGTTTTTAAAATCAAGACCATCATCATTGTCGTCAGAATCATGTCTTCTACCTCTATGTGATGTCTTGTTTTTAGCATCATGACCATCATCATATTTATCCACATGTGTTTTCTCTTTTTGAACCATCTTGTTTTTGACATCAAGGTCATTGTAATGGTTATCATCATCGGAATCATGTCTTCTACCCTGTTGAAGCTTTATGGTTTTTACATCACGGTCATCATTATCACCCACAAAATGTCTCCTATGGACTTTCACATGTTTCTTCTCATGATCAGACTCAGAATAAGAGTCAGAATCAGAGGATGAATCGTCACTGTGATGCCGCCTTCTAACCTTCTTGTCCTTGAAAGACAACTTTCTTGCATTTTTACCACCAGCAGTATCAGAATCGGAACTAGCATGAGCCTTCTTACGGGTTTTCGTAGACTCTTTGGCATGGTGTTCACTGCTGTCAGTGTCAGACGAATCGTCACTTTGATGCCGCCTTCTAACCTTCTTATCCTTGAAAGACAACTTTCTTGACTTTTTACCACCAGCAGTATCAGAATCAGAACTAGCATGAGCCTTCTTACGGGTTTTTTTAGACTCTTTGGCATCGCTTTCACTGCTATCAGTGTCAGACGAATCATCACGTCCTCTCCTCTTCTCTTTTTTCTTATGACGCTTACCCTCGTCCTTTTCTTTTGCCAAGTCATTAACTTCACCCTCTTCTAAATGAGCTACGTCATCATGCTTCTTCTTCTGAGTTTCGTGTTCAGCCCCTATCTTGAGAGCAGCTTTTAAGTTTTCCATTTGTTTTTCTTTCAAAGCAGTGATCTGGTGTGTTTGTGTTTCCGAAACCCTGGAATGAACAAGTTTAGTTATTGCATATCAACCTCACAGTATCTATCAAAATACTGAAAAAATCTAACAAATTAGGTCCTGATTTGTGAAACTAATTAAGAAATTTAATGTTCAGGAAACAAGAATCAACAAGACTTAATTATATCTGTATCCAAATTCTATTGTTCATCCTGCTAAACTGGCATGTCCCTCTTATCGAAGCCTAAAATGAAAGCAAACAGCATTTTTTATCTCCTTAAAAACCCTACTAGATAAAAAAGATCCCAATTTTTAAAAATAGTTTCACAGTCCATAACAAATGATAAAGGTAAAAAAAAATGAACTAAAAAACATCAAAATTGTAAGTAGTAACACTTCTTTTCCCTTTCCAATTTCCTTCTTACTTATCATATTTCTATTTCCTTAAATTCTACTGCCTCCAAATATAATACATGGCAAATCCTCTAAATACGAATGATAACAGCATCAAATCAGTCAAATTTTAGAAATTCATTAGCTAGTTCATAACCAAAATCCAAACGCGTATATTAAGCAAAAAGTATAACAACAATTCAAAAAATAAAAATTACTTTTCATAAGTAGGTCCTCCAAATTCCTCAGATGTTGCCTCTAGATTCCTTCGCGCTTCCTCGAGCTTCTCAGAGATCTCAGCATCAGTGTATCCCTGATCGGCAAGCTTCTCCTCAAGGACGAGAAGTTTGAGCTGAATCTGCCGTTTCCGGTCATGTTCGAGAATGTCCTTGTTTGCTTTCCTCGACACTCCGGCAGTTCCTTGACCGGATTCATAACCTTTGCCGCCGTCTACAAGGACTTTGTTAGTCTTCGACTTGACGAAGAACTTGTTGGTCTGGATGTGGCCATTGGTGCCGGAGCCTCGCGGCGTTTGTAGGCCGATTCCGTTGTACATCTTCGCTGGAAAGAGAATGAGAAAAATATCTCGACCCTTATTTGCCCTAATATTTATAGATACATGCGTAACCCGAATTTAATCGGGTCGGGTAAGTTGGTTCATGAAATTCGGGTAAATCGACTAATACAAATCCCCTATGGATTAAAAATAAGTTTTTTCCGATTAAAGTCCAATTATTTTAATTTTTGAGAAACTCATAGGTCATAGGAAAGCTTTTTGTAAAAAGAAAAACTGAAAAACTAAACTTATATAATAAAGAAAGGATTAACTTTTTAATTACATTTTTTATTGGGTAAAATTTATAGATTGTATACATAAAGTCAATACATGTATGTTATTATTTAAATTTATAATTTATTTTACTTAATTATAAATAATTAATATATGTTTTATTCATTAAATTGTCTAATAATAAAAATTACATTAATTTGATGTATACAAACAGTACAAATAAGCTTTTTACATTTTTATTGGTAATTGGAATAATGTTAAATAAAATAACATCAAAGATATCGCTATAATATAAGTCTATCATACATACACATTTGATATCAAATATCTAAACCTTTTTACTAAAAATTCTTCACAAAAAATAGCTTGATAAGCTTTCTATTTAGATAATAGATATATTAAATATGTACATGAATTATGAAGTATATCTATAATTACATACTCAACTTTTTGTAATGACCCATTAGATTAAAAAGAGTTTGGAAACCAAAATAAGCCACAAAAATATAAAAGTAACCAAAATAAGTCATTATTTTAGCAAGTAACTAAAACAAGCTTAGTGGAAGAAAAAGTTTCACTATATCCAATAATTTAAACGTTTTTCGTTAGTTTCATAACGTTTATTTTTAATATATAATGGAACTTTTTCTTACACTTTATAAAGTAGAACTTTTTCTTCCACTTTATAAAGTGAAACTATTTATTACACTTTATAAGAAAAATATTTTTCACGTCTTGAAAAAGTTTTTTCAGTGTTGTCATATAAATTATATTGATTTGATATGTCATTAAAACGAAAAAAAATATTTCATTATGTATTTTTATTATTTTATTCTGAAAAATCTATTTAAGGACGTTTATACATAGTTGATAGCACTTACAACATAAAGTCTTCTATATTTGTTCAAATCAATCTAAAAAAATATCTTCTACACCTAAAGTTAAAGTTTCAATTTATTGAGATGGACAAATTATACGTGACGGAAATATCATTTATTATAATTGTCCTCCCAAACACAATGCTAAATATCCAATAAATGTTCGATATCATAAATTTATTTCATCAATTTATAAAAGAATGGGTATAAACAGTACAATTATAATTTGATTATAGCCGGAGAATATCCTACTTCATTTTTATCACAAGGACAAGTAAATTTTGGAGAGTGAATTATCTATAATGACGAATCGTTGACCGACTTTTTAAGGGTTCCAAATGACTATATAGATCAAATCAAGTCAACAATACTTGGAATCTATGTTATGAAGGAGCCTAAGATTAGTCAACAACGTTCTCCTTTATCAGTCGATGTTCATCTCTAATTAGAAAATCATAATAGCATTGATGGATTTCCGATAACTCAATATACTGATTTTCCTAAAATGACTCATTATCAAAATACTCTTACCGGCCGATTTGATTTTGATTTAAACAAAACTATCAATAATAGTGATCGGTAATGCTCAATTATTGTTTGTTGATTTTGTCAATTATTTATTAATTTATATTATTTATTATTTTTATTATTATATATTTTGTAGAGGTTTACCTCAGCAAGATAGGGATATTGCTCCAAGTTATGGACTAAATAATTATTTTGGTCAGTCCACACACTTTGAAATGACGAAAAATGTTGGGACATCCTCAAATTTTCATGTCTCGCCTACTTTTGATGCAGATGATTATCGCTATGTCTAACACTTATTTTTTTATTTGAGTAAGTTAATTGCATGAGTCAAATATTTATATATTTTTAACATATATAGGGAAAATACTACACAAGATGAGCTCATTGATTTTGTGAATATCGATGATCGTGACCTTCCTAATTACGGCTCACCTTCAGCTAGTGATAGTGATGACTTGCCTAATGCTGAGGAATCAGGAGATAATGTTCCATTTGAGGCATCATCTAGTGATGATGATTTTTTGACTCCCAATTGATCGCCAAGACCAATGTCCATGAGTCCGTTTCGTAATCATGAAATTCCTATCTTGATCATCTCTCGGATGGTCCAGATATCTTTGGTGATACACATGATGAATATACATCACAATGTACGTGGCATGAATCAGAAGATTTCATGAATGATGCTATTTATATTAAAAAAGACATGTTATTCAATTCAAAGAAGCAATTGCAAAGAGCAGTTAAACTTCTACATTTGAACATAGCAAGGGAGTGCTTTGTTATTAAATCAACAAGAAATCATGGCGGCGACTTGTTTGCAGGCGTGTAGAACAAGGATGTCAATTTAGGTTGACTTCTTTTATTGATTAACATACTAACATGTGGAAAATTGAAGACACATTAAAGAACATACATGTGATATGGGTACGTGCCGCGAAGGGTATTTCAACTTGGATGTTGAGATGATTGCTAACATCCTCCATGTTGATATACAAAGAACGCCAAGGTACAATTTTATTCCTAGATGATTTTTATTTAATAAGAAAATATTCATTTTTTATTTGATAATTAATATTATTATTAATTTCAGGTTTCCCATCAAAGATTGTCAAACAGTTATTCTTAAAGGATATGCCATTTCAGTAAGTAAAAGAAAAACTTATCTTGATCGCAAGCAGGCTTTTGAAAAAGTTTATGGTACTTGGGAGTGTTCTTTTGCCGAGTTACCGAGGTTCATGGAAGCTTTGAAACACTTCAATCCTGGAGCAGTAGTCAATTGCATGTTGATAGTCAAGACACATATTGGTGTAGAAATAGTCAAACAATAACATCCACCATGTGGGAAAAATATGGAAGATTTGTTGATATTTTTTCGAAAAAAAATAATCAGAAAATGTTTCAACTTAAAGCTAGACAAAAAGATGAATTTTTGTGTACTTTATGACATAGATACTTTTATTTTGTCTTATATTTTACGATATACTGTCTCTAAATTTTATTTTATTTTATTTTCATATGATTTTGAAGTAGTGTTACTATTGAAACTTTTATAAAACGTGTAAACCTAAAGTTTTCTATCAATAAATTTAGATGCCTTCCTAACCGAAACTAAATTAAGTCTAAGGTTGAAAGTAAATCAAATCAAAATCACATTCTAAAAAAGATAAAATTTCCCTACAAGTACAAGGCTGCAATCTTATCTATTTTTGCACTAAAGCAACGAATATGAGTTGTATGTTGTCGGGTTGTGCTACTCCAAAATTTTGATTTGTTTAGTGTGGGGCCGCTTCAAACTGTCGGATTAGGACCATCTTCAAAGTAAAATTTTTTTTTGGAAGCCATGGAAAGAAAAAGGAGAGAAGGTGAAGGTGAAGATGAAAATGTAACTTTTTATAAAGTGGAAGATTTTCTTCCACTTTATAAGGTGGAAGAAAAAGTTCCGTTATATATTAAAAATAAACGTTATGCCAGTAACGGAAAACGTTTAGAAAATTAAATATAGTGAAACTTTTTCTTCCACTAAGCTTATTTTAGTTACTTACTAAAATAGTGACTTATTTTAGTTACTTTTATATTTTTGTGGTTTATTTTGGTTCCCAACTCGATTAAAAACATGTAAGAAACAAATAGTTTTTGATTTTTTTATATAGAATTAAATATATGAGTATAGCTATATAAGTTATTTTTATTTTTTTTAATTAGAATATTTTATTTTAGAAAAAAAATTATTTTTACTTGAGTTTGTTTATTTACTACTTCATCCGTTTCAAAAAGAATGTTAATATTTCCTTTTTAGTTTGTTTCAAAAAGAATGACTCATTTTATTTTTTGACAACACTTTGACTTTTCACATGACATGTTTAAGATCACAATATTAAAGGATATTTTGGTATATATGACATAACTCTAATTTAGAATCACAAGATTTCTTTCTTTTCTTAAATTTCGTTCCAAGTCAAACTAGGTCATCATAGAGAAAGAATTTAACTTCAAAATCTTATATATATTTGATCAAGTGCTTCTTTACTATTAGGCTTCAAATTCTTATATTTTCTTTATAAAAAATTTTTACTTGAGGTGCTTCTTTACTATTTGGCTTCAAAGTTTTGTATTTACTTGATTAAAAAATTTACTTGACTGTGCTTTCTTACTTGTATTTAATTAATTCTATCTAGGGTTTTCTTCTTTTATATTTTTTTAATTTTTGTGTAATTTTTTCACTGCCTTTAATCCATTCTGTTGTTTTTCTTCTTTTGTTACCTACTCTTCTTGCTCCTATCTCTTGTTTACATGGTGTTGTGAACCATCAGTGTGTTTTTGTTATTATGTGTGGATATAATTTTTCTAAAATTGACATTCCTAATAACATATCCTTTGTTGTTAATTCAAAATCATATATTTCGTCTACAATTAATATTTTATCTCATATTTGTATTTTTATATTTTTGTCTTGTATGTGATCATACTTCCTTCATTATTAAATCCTGTTACTACTATTGGTGTTTTTTAACTTTTCTCATTTTTCTTCTGGTAAACAATTGTATTTACATAAATTAGTCTCTGCTCCTGTATCTATCATTGGTGTATAATATCTATTATAATATCCTTCTATTATTATCTTCGCGAGTATATATATTTTCATATATTTTTTTAATATTAAAGTCTTTTTTATTATGACTTTTTTATTTTGATAATTTATCGTTAGTTGTTTATCCTCTATATTATATGATTTTACTTGTTCTAACCATTTTATTCCTAATGTTATATTTTCATTTCCTCGATATATTTTAAATTTTATTATCATTGGTATACCTCCAATTATTATTTCTTTTCCGTTGTTTCTTCAATATTTATTAATACTTTTGATAATTCTGAACATGAGTGTTCCATAGTTATTATTTTATCTTCCATTACTAACTCTCTTGTAATATAGCTTTCTTCTTGTCCTGTATTTATTAGTATTAAATATTTTCTTTGCTCCATTATTCCTGTTATATAATAATAATGTGGTTTTATTTCTTCTTCTATTAATTTTTGTGAAATTATATTTATTCTTTTGGAACTATTTGAAGTACTCATTTTTGATGATATTTGTGGTATATCATTATTATTTATTCTTTTTGATGTGCTTAGTCTTTCTTGTACTATCTCTAAATCTTCTTCTATATCAATTTCATTAGAACTATAGTCATTATTATCTATAACCGAAACTATTTTTTCAAAGGGGTTTTCTATTTTTATTTTATTTTATTTATTTTATTTTTTGCTGTTATTTTATGTTTTGTTGTTAAAACATATAAATTCTTTACGATATTTGTCCATATAAAATATGTTTCATTGTTCATAAAATAAAAAATGGGTTGAAACCCACTTTACGATATTTGTCCATACCAACTTTGTGGACCGTTTCATTGTTGATATTTGTCCAAATAACTTTGTGAACCGTTTCAAAGTTTAAATTGCATTTTTGGTAGTCATACCCTTCAAAATGATTTTTTTTTTAATTTTTCGATAGTCATACCCTTCAAAATGACATCTTTTAAATTTGGATCGTCATACCTTTCAAACTGACTTCATTTTAAATTGTTGCCCAATATTTGTCCAAATAACTTTGTAGACCGTTTTGAAAGTTTAAATTGCATTTTTTGTAGTCATGGCTTCAAAATGACATATTTTTATTTTTTTGTAGTCATACCTTTCAAAATGACATCATTTTATTTTTATGCTCCATATTTGTCCAAATAACTTTGTGGACAGATTCAAAGTTCAAAATTGCATTTTTGAGTCGTCACATCCTTCAAAATGACATCTTTTTATTTTTCGATCGTCATGCCCTTTAAAATGATATCTTTTAGAAATTAATTTATTTTTTTAAATAAATTAATTCTTTCAAAATTGGTTTGTCACACCGTTCAATATGACACTTTTTTTATTCCATTTTAAATTGGCATTTCATTTAATTCATGATGTTATTAAGTTTGAATCGTTGCATTGGCTAATACCTTGTTCATATGGACATGTTTGCATAATTTATGTTATATTTGCTACTAACATTGATATTGCAGATTTTGTGATACGTCATTCATGTTAAGTTCAACTTGTTCAAAGAGACATATTGGGTTGTCATCTCCCTTCAAATGACACTCTAAGTTCAATATTGGGTTGTCATCTCCCTTCAAATGACACGTTAAGTTCAACATTGAGCTGTCATCTCCCTTCAAATGACACGTTAAGTTCAATAGTGGGTCGTCATCTCCCTTTAAATGACATGTTAAGTTCAAGTCGGGTCATCCGTTTTTCAAAAAAACAAGATTGGGTTGTCATCTCCTTTTAAATGACATGTTAAGTTCAAGTTGGGTCGTCCGTCTTTCAAAGAGGCAGGATTGGGTCATCATCTTCCTTCAAATGACATGTTAAGTTCAAGTTGAGTCGTCCGTCTTTCAAAGAGACATGATTGGGTAGTCATCTCCTTTAAAATGACATATTAAGTTCAATTTGAGTCGTCCTCCTTTCAAAAAGACACGATGGATTGTCACCTCTATTTAAGTGATACGATAAGTTCAAGTTGGGTTGTCCGGCTTTTAACGAGACACATTGGGTTATCACCACATTCAAAGTGACATGTTATTCGCATCATCCTTCTTTCAAAAGGTACACCACCTTCATTGTGCAATTTTGCAAGTAACATCAAAAGTATGTTAATTTTCTTAGTTTACAATCAATTTCCGTTTTTTGTTTATTATTTTCTTCCCAGTCGATTAATGTGGAGTCTTGCTTAAAAGCTCTACTAATGTGTCAATTGTTTTGTTCAATGTTTATCAAATTAAATTTGATTCGTCAACTTTGTTTGACCAAAATCTCTTTCATCGATCCTAATCAAACAAAGTTGTTGACACCAAATTTTGGTTTGATAGTTTTAAAATTAATATATTTTGAATCAAATACAAAAAAAAATTAAAAATTCTATTTTTTAATTTTGGGCCACAATACTAAGTCCATAACTTAAGCCCATAATTTTTTGACGTGGATAATATTTGTGGTTAGAGGATCAAAAAGGAAAAAAAGAAAGGGGAGAAAGTTTTTTTTTCTTTTTCATCCACAAATATTATCCACACAAAAAAATTATAAGCCTAAGTTATGAACTTAGTATTGTGGTTCAAAATTAAAAAATAAAATTCCTAAAAAATTTTGTATTTGACTCAAAATATATTAATTTTAAAACTATCAGATCAAAATTTAATAGAAAAATTATAATTACTGCTTGAAAGTTATACCATCAGGGGTTTTACTTGTTTCAATTTATACAATCCGTTATCAAAAGATTTTGAATTTGTTTACCTCCACCAGATGCATCCGGCTCCTTAACTCAAAAAGTAGCTACTGCTCTAATTATTAAGTTTGCAAAAATATCAACAAAAAAAAAAACCTAATTTAGTCTTTTGATTATTAAATCTGACTTCTTCAGAAAATAACAATTTGTTAGATTTAAAGATGCAATCCAACAATTTTTCGGATTTGTGTCAACCCAATTTTTCAATGTAATGGGAATAGCCTGGTGGGTGAGAGCGGAATAAACGCAATTCACCAAGTAGAAGACTATCAAACACCATTGATTTGATATTACTATCGGTGACATACTGACCATTCACACGGAGAAGAACATCCAACGATGTGTGTGTGACTGGCTAATTGGTCACCTTTTCTTCACATAACAAACAAACAAACAATTTCAAGAGCAAGATTTTACCTGGGCAATCCCTTCTCTGGAACTGATAAGCATAAGAGGGGCGCAAGATTTCTAGGGTTTTAAGGGGATTTATATAGCATGTGTGTTCGTGGCTAGGGTTCCCCAATTTATCGGGTCGGGCTACTTGGATATTGGCACAGGTTTATATATGTTTTTAAATTGAATCCATTAAATTTTTAATATTGAATTATTTGGTACATCCGAGTATTACTTTGCTCTTTACCCCTACAT